ACGCTACTAGATCTACTAGGGGCTCCTGGCCTTACTACTAGGAGCAATCGGACGCTATTAGGCTTGGACTTGCCTCATCTGGGTTCCGCGCCTCACCGCAGGAGCCGGACCCCAAAGAACGCACCTGCGCAGAACCATCATCAGACTGGTGTTGCCACAACGGATGTCATCCACATGGTTCCTGCAACATGCAGAGTAGGATCATGTTACAGGAACCATGTGGATTCCTTTCATTGATTTATTTGATACGAAGTCGGGCCATGTGTTTCCTTGGATGTTCGTTTATGTTATCAGGAAATCATTAATTGACTTCTTCCTCGCTCTTTGCACTGTTTCACCCCGTTAACCCCGCAAGTGAGGGAACAAACACTTTAAAGCACCAACTGTGCAATAGAAGGGTTCAAAGACGCACCATGGATGGTCTGGGAGTCGCACCATCATCGACTTCTCTAGTGTGAGCTCCCAAATGAGCTCATAGGTACAAACCCTGAAGTGAAGCTTGAACATCTTGCGATGCTTCGCCAATTCGTGGGACACTGCTCTTCAAACTGTCTGGTAATCTGAATCATAAACCTCCCACCATAGTCAGAATATCGTCCCAAGATATCGTCCCAAGGCCATAATTGAGACCTTGTATATAGGGGGATGTGGGGAAAACAGGTATGCAAGCACGGTGAGATCCCTGTCAGCATGGTGCAAGTGTTGGCTAGCATAGGGCTGTATTCCAGAAACTTGAATCTAGAAGTGAGCAAGCAGCAGCATTGGGGAACATGAAACCACCGGGTCATCAGAATAACATAGTATCTGCATCGATTCATTGGAGGGCTCCTCTGCACCAAAGGATTTATTTCTGAAATATCAAAAAAAGGTTGAACATCTTGATGATTCTCATTGAAACCCTTGAGGAAAAACTCCGAGGATGCAAAGAGTCTGTTCGCAGATCAAGACCTACTGGAAGATTCTTTGGAGACATTGGCCACTGGTCCCATGTTAAGTATGGAGGTGCTGGAAATCAACAAGTCCACTCAAGTAATACCTTTGGCTGGTGGTGCGGACATGTGCGGACGGCCTCTGAAGCATTCTGACGAAATTTGATCTACTGTAGGTGAAACAACCACCGGCGTCGGTCAAGAAGAAGAGGCGGCACTGGGTGCACTCACATGTTTCATTGGTGCACCTGGGACATTCATGCTGAGAATGAGTCAGCTCTTGGCAAGATCCCTTGATGTGAAGGTTGACCCATGTACCCTGGCAGGAAGTGGCTTAGTCCATGATCTGCGGCATGCACAAACAGACTGAGGGTCTGAAGAAGGCACCTCGGGCCACTAGAACAAGGGCAGCACATCATGCACCATACTAGAATGACAGCCTGGACTCCAACATGTACCAACTCGAAAATGTCCTACGTGTGGCTTTGGTAGATCTAGCAGAATCTTCAGGGACACCTCTTCCAATCCAGCATAAGAAAGGATCTTAACACAATGCTGCAAAAAAAGAAACAACAAATATTTGCTTTCTCTCACCTGTTCTGGCGTTGACCAATGAGATGTGACTGTGATGTAATTATTCTTCAGAGTCTGATAAAACTCATGTCAGGGTCTCATTCGGACTGCGTGTTTCTGCTCCCACAAGTTGTGAACAAGTAAATCAACGGCCGACGCGAGCCTCTGATCTTTCTGAACCCTAAAGAACGTTCTCGTAATTCTTCTATTATAGGTCCCATCTTATAGGTCTCCCACTTGAAGTGTTGACCTCTAGCCAAAACAAACGCAAAAAAGGCTATATAGCAGTCAGTCAGCATCAAACACACACGATCAGTGTCGCGGACCGTGCTCGGGCCGTGCTCCCGTCGCGCGGGACCGACTCAGATGGAATCCGATCGCCTGTCCGATCGCTGCGTCGGCGTGGCTGAGGATGATTGGTCCGTGGTTGGGGTGTTGGTCCCAATTCGGGATGGCTTTTACGTAAAATGAAGAATGGCCTGGACAAGCTATGTAACATGTAGTACCACCAAATCAAATCCTGAACTCATGAGACACCATGAGAAGCAAGACAGGACTCTGCAGTCATATACCTGAGAAGGAATAGTTTCCTGTTGGATCGGGTTTGGGAGGTCGCGCGCAGCATCGTGCCACTGTCTTCTACATTTTTTGGATGCCCAGCAGCCGGGATCTCGCTACATTTCTTTCATGACTCGTTCAAATGAATTTTGCTGCTGGACTGAGTATATAAATTGCTGGCTACCTTCGAAGCCCTCTTCAAAGTCTTTGCAAAGGAATCCAATCCCACAAGAAAATCCTTTATCCGTTCCCACAATTGCCCAGCGCGCAAGGGCATCAATTTGCCTCCAAGGGCATCAATGAGCCTCTGTGCCTGGTCTGCTGTTCGGGGATACGCATGTACTGGCTGGGCCGGGCAGGATTTCGTCCAACAACAATTAGGTGATCTGCAGATTGGCCGCGCCTGTAACAAGCTCAGTCAGCCAGAATGGGTAGGCAGGTGTGAATGGAATGGTTTGACTCCAAACAAGCGGTGAACATCTTAATCATACTCAAATGACCTGTAATTCTTATAACGTTAGACTGTCTCTGAACTTCTGAACTGTTACAGTAACCGCTCTGAAAGGCGCCATCCCTTAGATTGCAACGCCTGACTGCAAGATATTGCACGCATCGGAATGTAAAGTTTGAGGTTGGTCAAGAGCGGTTTCTCGCCTCAAAAAGAGTTGTCATTGGGATTCATCATCCTATAGGTACCAGGTAAGGGTTGCAAGCTTGAAGACTAGCTTGAAGCCATCACTCAGAAGTCAGCAGGCAACAACGGAAGCTGAGATGGATATGAGCTGATTTTGTCAGGGTTGGAGAAGCTCCATGATCAATGGTATGGTGCATGTCGGGTAAAAAAGTACAAAACACCCACACAAATGCAAGATTCGGGCAGTGGGCACTGGGTAAGGAGGGGAACCCCACTGCAGCCGACATCCATGAGATCTTTGCCGCGCCTTCCTTGTCAGCTGCCCTGAGCGAGACAGAGACCACAACAGTGTGAAACTCCAAATCGAAAGGCTCTGGAGGGTCGTCTAGTGGCCTTTTCAATGAAAGATAATATACGTATAGTTTCTCTCGGACCACCTCAATTTGTCAAGAGATTACAAGAGTATACAGTACAAATTTACTAACATTCTTAAACAACTATGCATAGACCAGGATATCAGTGTGTCTTCGTCCACAGCCCATGCCCAAGCAAAACCAGCACCAAGGCGCCCAGTGGCGGCCGGCGCCGCAGGCTCTGCTGCGCTGAAGGTACTCTTTCGGCCCTGGCACGTGCCCCCTGACCATCTATGTTCAATCCAACCACCCATGTATGTTCCCCTGGTAGTAGTTAAACTTCAACAATCGTCTCTCCATGCGTAAATCCACGTATTGAAAAGGCAATGCGTATCTGTCTTTCTCTCTTGGTGTCTCTCTCTCTCTCTCACGGTGTACACATATATGATATATGTCATTACATTATATCTATCCATTCATCCATCCAATTGAAAACAACAGCGCCATGTCATTGCTGACTTAATCGTTCAAATTAAGAACTGGCCAGCAAATCATAGGTCTTCAAAGGTCAGCCCGCCAAACACAACCCCTGGCAGCATGTGGAAAAGCCCGGGCGATGTCGTCAGCCTCATCCTCATCGTCACTGCTGCCTGTGGGGCATTTGGATCCAAGTAGACTCTTCCGGACGATGATCATGTGATGTTTTTCTGCGTGGAACTCGTGAAAAGACACGACATCAGAACTGTTCGTCTGCTCATCTCCTGGACCAAAGCACACCGGACCGTGTCCCAAGCCAACAAAACAACCAAGACCAACCTGCAGGACCAACCAGCGGTGATTGATGGACCCATCCCAACTTAATCAGTCAAAGAGATTCCAACAAAAAGAAGCTGTTTTTGATTGGTCATGATCATTGATCATAAAGGAAACGAGACCAGGAATCCTCTGATCTCCCTTGGCCTTTCTGGAGCAACGGAACATTCCCAAACACAAACGTGTACCTCCAAACTGCTAGCATCTCTCATCCAAAACCCACTCTGAGCGGCTCAGAGCGAATCAAAACACCGAGGCTTCGTTGCTTCGTTGCTGCTCACCGGTCGCAACGAAGCATTTCGTCGTTTTTTCGCCCAGTTGCTCATCACGTCGAACTGCGCAATCGTCCTGAGTGACGTCAACGTCGCCCCAGCTGGACATGGCTCCCTGTCAACTGGTTGGACGCCCAGTGTGTGACTAAAAACAAGAAAACTCCTGGATGGCCTTTTCGTATCAAGCCTATTTTTTAAAGATTCCCTTTGATTCCTATCCAAAGAGCGGCTATAGAGCGGCTCAAAGTGGGTTGTAGGATTCCCAAAACACCTCCAGGCTCGGTGTTTCGAGACCTCGGTCGCTGTTGCTTTTTCCAGCTCGAGACGTTTGAAGAACCCCAGGAAGGGGCCCCAAGACGTGAGTCTTGACACCCAGCCAACCATATATATCGCAACTACCGGATCTCTTGTTGCACAACCTGAAATCCCCTTGAATGCCCATGTGCGCCCAAAAAAGGCCACATGGGAGGGCACAACTTTGCAAGGTCCATTTGTGCGGGTTCCACACACGAAACCGACATGCCATCTGTGGATTCATGCTGTTGAATTCCAACCATCCCAACATCATCAAAACATATTTGAGCGCGTGGCTGGATGTCATCTCCACACTGGTTGGCGATGTAGTTGTAGAGCACCATGATCCTCGAGTGCTGAATTTGTCGGTATGGTTTCCAGGTGGGTGGGCTCTATTGGTGGCATGCAGGGAGTATGTTACTGTTATAAACACATTCTGAAATTTTGTGCTCCTGAATCATCCTAATTCCAAATTGCAGGGACTGGGTTTCAACAGCCGTGCTGGGATTGACATGTGTGCCAAACCACGGGATTAAGAGTCACACAATTTACTGTACATCAATTTACAAAACATATGTCCAATGTATATAAGTGAACGGAACTGATCTGGCTTGCCAATGTATATTTCACAAGACACTTCCATCTATGCAAACACATGCTAACTCCTGAGTGGCAGCAAACCTTGCGATAGAATAGTC